TGGTAAAGTCATCCATCAAGCGATGCAATATGTAGACAAAAAACAGTGACTTTCCGATGCCTGATGTTCCAGATATTGCAAATGATTCGATGCCACGATCAATATGATCCAAAAGCAAGCCAAACACATCATGATAGCACTCTCTAACATATAGCTTTTGTATTTTGTCTTGGGTGTATGGGAAAAGGACATGATCTGTCGACTGTATGCATTCATCGATCAGCTGGGCGTTTGCAAACGACTTGAATTGGGCTGTCAAATCATTGGGTTCGGTACGTTGTCGTTTAGGAGAAAAGTCTTGATGGTTTGCTGTTGATAAAGAAGTAGAACCTGCATCAAAAATGGTACTTTTGCTTGGTTTCCTGGTAGGTAGAGGTAAACAACCAATAACAACACAAAAACCATCTTGAGTAAAGTATTATTGAGGAAGGGAGTCGAGTAAAGTCCAGGTGTTGATTAGTTGGTCCTTGTTACTGTTGGTGTAGAGTTGGAGTTGAGGAGCATCAATGTCAGCCATAGCAGGACCATACTCTGCCTTGATAGCATCCTGAACGTCACTCAGGTCTTCAAAGTCAGTCACATCGATTTCAGTAGTAAGTGTGCCATATTCAACATTGAGGAATCGTTTTGGCATTTTATGAAAAGAAAAAAGAATAAAAAGCAATTTATTTGTCAAATTGTAAAACAAAAATCGACTTTTTAATCGAGTCAAAATAACAAAATTTTGGGATATTTCAAGACAATTCACACGATTTAAATATTTGGAAATTAGTCAGATTTACACCAGAATTAATGTCTCATTAATGTGAGACATTACTAGTGTGAGAGTGTTGACTTGCATTGTGTGAGACATTAGTAGTGTGTGAATGTGAGACATTTCTGAATAGTTTAACAATCAAAAACCATCAACAATGACGTTTGAACTGGAGTTCACATGACTTTCTTGGTTTCTTCCATTTTATAAACACACTCACTTTCTTGTTAATAAACAACACAATCGAATATTGATTCATTCCATCACATCTTCAATCAACTGCAACACACTTGCCAATAATGACAGCCATCAATATGCCATCATATGTCCACGATCCTCAAATTCAAAAGTCAATTTGAAAACCCCATTTTTAAGCATCTACAAGTCTGCAATATCATATTTGTGGCTGGTACATAATAGGTTGCCAATAAAAGTCGACAAAGTGAGCAACTGCAATGTGCCTTGCTGTATGATAGTAACACATCAGAAATTATGAATGCTTTCAAAATCAAAAGTCTGCAAACGATGTCACTGCTGGCTTGTAGTCTCTGTTTACAAACCTACAATCAACATATTCACTGGATTCGTATAATGTTAAATGCTGAACCACAAACCGCTGATGATATTATTATGGACGATGCTCATATTACTGGAAATCAAACGATTGGTGCAGTTTCAGATGCTGTTTCATCACACAGAAAGTCTTGCTACAGAGTCTGAATACAATAGCAGTGAATCTGCAGTTTGACCAACACAGTCAATAACTATCGTTTCAAACTCGAATCAAGTGATGATGTTGCTGTTTCAGATGCACTCAATGTCATCAATGCAGTAACATTGAAACCAACTCAAATCATTGATCATGAACCAATTTACCGTGTCTTGATAAAAACACTGATAAACCATCATTCATACATGAGCTTGTCAAAAGTATGAACTGATTGCTGACCAGATGTTTAAAGTGGAACTCAAAACAGTGCAACTCAATGTGCAGCTTTCCCACGACTTTCCCACTACAAAAAATACAGTCTTGGAACTCAAAGTGTACATCAACAATAATTGTGTGTATTGACCATCAATGATGTTGTTGGTGTAGCATACACAATGTGCATTGCAGAAACGCTTGTTTGTTTGCTGGAGCTATTTTAAGCAAGCAAAAATACTAAAAGGATATGGATGTAGTGATATTCACTACGACATTAGCTGACTTGCGTCTCGGGTCTTCTGAGGTCCGTTTTTTTTTTTTTTTTTTTTTTTTTTTTTTTTTTTTTTTCTTTT